TCATACACAGGTATTCATTTTTATTTATTTTATTTATTTATTTTATTCTTTTATTTAGCTTATTAATTTGTTTATTTGTTTATTATTTAATTAATTCATTATTTGTTTGTTTGTTTATTTGTTTGTTTTATTTGTTTATTTGTTTGTTTGTTTGTTTGTTTGTTTTGTTTTATTTATTTGTTTTATTTGATTGATTGATTGATTTATTTGTTTATTTGTTTATTTGTTTATTTGTTTATTTATTTTATTGATTTATTTATTTATTTATTTATTTGCTTGTTTGTTGATTCTGCTTATTTTGTTCTGTTTGTTTTGGTTATTTTTTTAGTTTTTTATTATTTAATTTGTTGTTTGTTTGATTTGATTTAATTTTATTTAATTTAATTTAGTTTAATTTGAATTAATTTAATTTAGTTTAATTTGATTGAATTGATTAATTTTGTTTATTTAAATGTTTAATTATTTAATTAGTTTAATGCATTTAATTTGTTTGGTTTTTTAATTGGTTTAATTTTTCTAATTTGTTTTGTTTGTTTGTTAAGTAAATAAATAGATTTAATTATTGATTAAATAATCAATTAATCAAACTAACCAATTAATCAAAAATGAATTAATTAATTAATTTGCTTAATTAATTAATTAATTCATAAATTAACAAATTTATTGGTTATTTAATTATCTTATTTTTTGATAATTATTTAAAAAGTAAATGGCAAAATAATTAATGAATTAATTAATTAATTAATCGACTAATTAATTAATTAATTAGTTAATTAGTTCGTCAATTAATTAACTAATTAATTATTTATTTATTATTTAATTTTTTACTTTCAAAATTATTTTCAGAAAAAGCTTTTTTGAGCAGATGATTTACTGTCTTGTTCGAACTTTTGTTTTTTTATCACATTATAGATGCATCATTAAAAAGCGAATTTAATAAAGTATTTCAATTAAGTAATTGATAAAAAAAATAAATATATTAAATAATAAATAAACAAATAAATTAATTAATTAATTAATTAATTTGATTATTTGTCCATTTAAATCCTCTCAGAAAGAGCTTTTTGGAGCAAATGATTTATTATCTTGTTGGAACTTTTTCTACTTCTCTACTTTTTACTAATAAGCGAATAAATACATCAAGGAAAAGCCATTTTAATTTTAGAAACAAATAAATCAATTAAGTTAAACAATTAAATTAATTTAATTAATTAAATTAAATTAGATAAATAAATTAAATTAATTTGCTTATTTGTTGATTTAAATCTTCTCAGAAAGAGCTTTTTGGAACACATGATTTATTATTTGGTTCGAACTTTTTTTTACTTTTTTTTGACGAGTTGGATAAATATATCAACAAAAAGCCGTTTTAATTTTAGAAACAAATAAATGAATTACACGAAATAAATAAACTAAATTAATTGATTAATTTGCTCATTTGTTGGTTTAAATCTTCTCAGAAAGAGCTTTTTGGAACACATGATTTACTATTTGGTTCGAACTGGTTCGGACTTCCGCTTTTTCCCGGAGACTTTTCCTTGGCGGTGGTTTGGAGATTTGCAGGACAAGAAGTTCAACTTCTTTGCTGTTGTAGGTTTTCTTTTTTTCCCTTTTTGGAACTTTTTGGAAGATTTTTGGAACGTTTGGGACTCTTTTTTGACTCTTTTTGCGTTCTCTTTGCAGTGTTTTTGATATTTGTTTCTTACTCTCTTTGTTTTCTTTTTTTCGTTCCTTTTTCGCTCTTTTTTGCGACTTTTTTGTTCTTTTTTTTATTCTCTTTTGCTCTTTTTGAGACTCTTTTTTCGCTCTTTTCTGCTCTTTTTGAGTCCCTTTTGACACTCTATTTGAGACTGTTTTTGCCCTTTTTCAAAGTCTTTTTGCATTTTTTTGAGAGTCTTTTTCCACCTTTTTTGAGACTCGTTGTGCAGCTTTTTTGGACCTTTTTGGGACTCCTTTTGGACATTTTTTTGTACTTTTCTGAGGCATTTAGTGACACTTCGATGGCCTTTTCGTGGACTCTTTTGTGGCATTTTAGTGACACTCTTTTGGCCCTTTTTGCGCATTTTATTGGCTTTTTGTGGACTCTTTTTGGCCTCTTTTGAGGCGTTTTAGTGGCATGTTATTTGCCTTTTTCGGCATTTTATTGAGACTTTATTTTCCCGTTTTTGGACCTTTTGGAGGCACTTTGTTGGCATTTAATTGCGACTTTTTAAATGCTTTTTTTCACATTTTAATTTTTCTTTTGTGACATTTTATTTAATCTTTTTCGGACATTTTGGACGTTTTTGGCACTTCATCTTCACTTTTTTGAATTTTTTAAAACTCTTTTGAAGCTCTTTATTTGGGACTTTTTTGGAACTTTTTTGGAACTTTTTGATGTTTTTGTTTGTCTTTTATTGTCTCCTTTTTGTTTCTTTTTGTTTCTTTTTTGTTTCTTTCATTTATTTCTTTTTGTCTCTTTTTGGTGTTTGTTTTTATATTTTTTGTTTCTTTTTTGTTTGTTTTTGTTTCTTTTCTGTCTCGTTAATGTCCCCTTTATTTTCCCTTTTTAATTTCCTCTTTGTTTCATTTTCTTTTTATTTTCTTTATTTTCCCTTTTATTGTTATCCATTTTATTTCCTCTTTATTTTCTGCTCTATTTTTTATTTTTTTATTCCTTTTTTATTTTTTTAAATTTCTTTTTCGTTTTTTTGTTTCCTTCAATTGGCTCTACAGCAGAAGCTGGAAAGGAAACAAACTAAAGACAAATAAAAACGAATTAAATTAATCAAAATAAACAAAACAAAATTAATGAATACATTGAAATTAATTAAATCAATTACGTAAAATAAATAAATAAATAAATGAAATGATTTTCTTTCAGGCGCAGCGGCGGCGGGCGCAGCAGCAGCTGCAGCAGCTGTCTCGCGTTGCTGCAATGGACTTATTTGCTGCAGCAGCAGAAGAGGGGGACTGCGAGGGGGAGGTGCTGCTGCTGCTGCAGCAGGAAGCAGCAGCAGCAGCAGCAGCAGCAGCAAGACTCATGGGTTCCTACGCCTTCCTTTGCTGCCCCTTCATTCCTTGCTTCTCTCTTGCTGCTGCTGCTGCAGCAATGTGCTGCGACGGCGGCAGCGGCAAATGGCTGGACTTGGGCGACGACGTCAACTGCCTCTTCTACCTCCCCAGCAGCAGCAGCAGCAGCAGCAGCAGCAGCAGCAGCAGCAACAGCAGCAGCAGCTGCAGCCCGACGCGCGCGCTCAACCGGCTTGCGGTCAGTCTTCCGTCTTTTTCTTTCGTTGTAATTCACTTATCTATTTATTTATTTATTTCTTTTTATTTATTATTAATTAATTTATTTATATATTTATTTCTTTTTATTTATTTATTTGTTTGTTTGCTTGTTTATTTTTTATTTATTTATTTTTCAGGACCACATGGTGATGACGGGCCTGAGGTTTAATCCTTCTTACTTTTCTCTTATGGTTTCTTTCGCTGAAATTTTGGAACAGAGAGGCGAAGAGTGGTGAGGGTTTTATTTGTTTATTTATCTATTTATTTTTATTTTTATTTATTTATTTTTATTTATTTATTTGTTTACTATTTATTTGTTTGTTTGTTTATTTCTTTGTTCGTTTTTTCGGTTATTCATTTGCTTTTTTAGCTCGCTTGTCCGGACTCTGGGTGTGTCAGACAGGGTTTAGGGTTTAGGGTTTAGGGTTTAGGGTTTAGGGTTTAGGGTTTAGGGTTTGGCGTATCGAGCTCTAGGGCGGATCTGTTCCCCGCTGGAAAGCGAGAAACGAAAGCTCCTCGAGCCAAACCAAGCAGACAAAACAAACCAAATAAATAAATAAATAAATAAATAAATAAATAAATAATAAAAAAATAAGTAAATAATAATAAATAAATAAATAAATAAATTGTTTTGAATTCAGGTTTTGCAGAAAAGACGAATGCGCCTCGCAAGGGTTTCTGCGGCGGCTGCGGGCGGACGACCCGCAGCGGGAAGTTTTCGTTTCTTATTTTCGAGAAATGTATTCTCGATTTGAAGTTGCAAAAGAAATTAAAAATATAAATTCTTTTTTGAAGTGCATGCAAAGAAAAGAAGCAGCTCACCGGCGCGAGCTGGAGGTGTACAGACACTGCGTGGCCGCGGCCGCGCCCGCCGACCCCGCAGCAGCAGCAGCAGCAGCAGCAGCAGCAGCAGCAGCAGCAAACCAGCTCCAAACCCTCTCCAAACACAAACAACTCCAAACCCTCATCGACTCCGGAGGGTTTGTGGCCCTCGACCAAAACCACCAAGTCGTCGCCGACGCCAACGAAGTCTTCGCCTCTCTCCAGGCCTTTGACCAAGTCGTGAGGGTTTAGGGTTTAGGGTTTAGGGTTTAGGGTTTGGGGTTTGGGGTTTGGGGTTTGGGCTCTGCGGTGCAGGGTGAGGGGTTTAGAGCCCAGGGCCAAGGGTTTAGGGTTTGAGGCTTAGGGTTTGCGGTGTGGGGTTTGGAGTCGAGGGTTTACGGTTTCGGAATTGGGGTTTGGGGTTTAGGGTTTAGGGTTTAGGGTTTGGGGGGTTCTCAGTCCCTGCTCTTCGCCTGCGGAATGGCCCGCCCTTGTTTTCTTTGCTTTTTATTTATTTATTTATTGCTTTTATTATTTACAGATCTTTAACTATTTATTTATTTACTTATTTATTTCTCTCTTTGTTATTATTTATTATTTATTTATTTATTTATTTATTACTTTTTATTTTTTTTGAATGTCCGCAGAAAGAAACAATCGCGGAGACAGTGAAGAACCTGAAGACGAATGTCCCAGAAAACCCTAAACCCTAAACCCTAAACCCTAGGGCTTAGGCCCTAGCTGGCGAATTGGGCCAGTGAGAACTTCGTGGGGTGTCTGTAAGGGCTTCGGTTAGGGTTTAGGGTTTAGGGTTTAGGGTTTAGCTTTCTTGGGCTGCAAGATGCCAGCCAGCAAACCCCAAACCCTAAACCCTAAACCCTCGGGCCGGCTGGAACCCCCGCCCCCTCCAGCCAAGCTCCAAACTCTCAACGTCTTTGCCTTTGTTTCGCTTTCCTTCAGACGAAGGTTTAAGGGTTTAGGGTTTTGAGTTGCTAAGAACTTTTAGGGTTTAGGGTTTGGAGTCTAGTTGCCCTGCGGTGTCTGTACACCTCAATTGCCTCCAAAGATTCAAATAGAAACGAACAGCGCAGTGTCATGGCTAGCTAGCTAGCTATGGCTAGCTAGCTAGTTAGCTAACTAGCTAGTTAGCTAGCTAGCTAGCCAGCTATGGGTAGCTAGCTGCCGATAGCTAGCTGTGGCTAGCTAGCTATGGCTAGCTAGCCATGGCTAGCTGGCTAGTCAGCTGGCTAGCTACGGCTAGCTAGCCACGGCTAGCTGGCCAGCTAGCCGTCATTTATGACGAGCTAGCCAGCTTCTATGGCTAGCTAGCCAGCTTCTGTGGCTAGCTAGCTAGCCTAGCCTCTCGGGCTGGCTAGCCAGCTGGCCAGCTAGCTGCCCAGGTAGCCAGCTAGCTAACCAGCTCACCAGAAAGCTAGAGAGCTAGCTAGCCAGATAGCCAGCTAGCTAGCTAGCCAGATAGCTAGCCGGACAGCCAGCTAGCTAGCTAGCCAGCCAGCTAGCCAGCTATCCAGATGGCTAGC